ATTGTAAAGATAGAAAGGGGTGTTTTCCTTTTGGGGTGTGACACCTGAGAGCACCTTGGCGCTACACATGGTCCATCATCTCCTTTGTTTTTCTCACGTTTCCCTCCCTTTTGATGCCCCCATTGGTTTTGTTCTGTGAGCTTGTGTTGCTGTGTTCTCTGCTCATCAGTTACTCAACTGCACTCATTGGCAATGCTGGCCTCCCACTTTTCCCAGGTGTCCACAAGTTGGGCTAATGTTGAAGACTAACAAGCTTAAAATAATTGCAGATTTGTCTTAATTTGGACAGAGAGGTTGACCCGAAGTAAACCACTGGGCTGTTTTTGCAAAGGGCTTCTTGCCAAAAATATTTAAGTATATGAGTCAGAGATGAAATTTCCTACCTAAGAACACGCTGCAGTATAAGCAGAGAGTAACCTCACTTAGATTGATGTAAAAACACTTTTTGTCTTTTAAGGAAGACCCATCAATTGACATTTTAACCTTCTCAAGGTTGTTCCAGAGTGGGGTAGGAAGAAATGCTATAGTTTGTATCTGTACCTTTGTGGTTAGAACAACCCTGAGATTTGAAAACTGCTCAAGATGCTCAACACTCGAAATGGCCAGTTACCTTGTCAGTTCCTCTTGGCCCATGCTTTTTGCATAGATTAAGTCTGAAAGTTGATGAATTGGAGGTTGGTGTGCCGAGCCGGGGGAGATAGAACAAAGGTGTCGCTGTTCAGTTGCTCAGTTGTGTCTGACTCTTTGTGACCTCATGGACTAAAGCACACCAGGCTTTCTTGTCCTTTACTATCTCCTGGAGTTTGCTCAAACTCATGTCTATTGACGGTGATGCCATCCAACCAGCTCATCCTCTGTCACCCCCTTCTCCTCCTGCTCTCAATCTTTCCCAGCATCAGGGCCTTTTCCAATGAGTCTGCTCTTCAAATCAGGTGGCCAAAGTATTGCAGCTTCAGCTTCAGCATCAGTCCTTCCAATGAATATACAGGACTGATTTCCTTTAGGATCGACTTGTTTGATCCGCTTGCAGTCCAAGGGACTCTCAAGAGTCTTCTCCAGAACCACAGTTCGAAAGTATCAATTCTTCAATGCTCAGTCTTCTTTATGGCCCAACTCTCACATCTGTACATGACTACTGGAAAAATGATAGCTTTGACTCTATAGACCTTTGTCAGCAAAGTGATGTCTCCACTTTTTAATACACTGTCTATGTTTGTCATAGTTTTTCTACCAAGGAGCAAGCATCTTTTAACTTCATGGCTGCAGTCACCATCTGAACAAGGAGCATTGCTTATTAATTTAAAACAATAAAGTTTGCAAGGGAAGAAGGGAAACTAGGTAGGATTTAACATTTGGTCATGTATATATAAACCATTAGTTCTATAGAATTTATATCCTGATTGCTTTTCTACAAGAAACGTTACTTCTCTCTTCTGAGAATAATGAAACTATTTCTATATGAAAATAAATTTCCCCTTCTTTTACTCAAAACTTTTTCACACTTTTTGCTGATTTCAAATTGCCTCTCCTCTTGGGGCTGGTTGGAATAGAATGTTCTCTAGTTTCCATCAGAGAATCTGGCTGTGCTTTTTTTTTGAGTGCAGATAGTTGGCTAAAAAATAACACCATGATAATACAAATAAATAGCTAAGTTTAACTGGGCACTTACCCTGTGAGCTAAGTGCTTTATTTACATTATCTAGTGTAATCCACCCAGCAACTGAGTGAGGTAGGTATTATTATCTCCCTCTTTCTAAATGGTCATGGATGGTCTGAGGCTTGGTTTGACTACAAACCTTTTCAAGGCTGCAGAGGGTTGGAAAGTTCAGTGGCTAACTGGAGGTGGTGGAGCTGGTTAGTTAAGGAAGGCAGGCTGCAGTCTGACTCTGTGACCACTGCTTTCTCTCTTCATATGACTTCTTTTTCTTCAAGAAGACATCTTGGAAACTTCCCAAGACAATTTGCAGACAGTCTGTAGATGGAGAACTCTGGGTCCCTTCACTCGGAGATCCTTCAGCAGAGGAAGGTGACCTTGCTGGGTGCTTCCTGCAGTGATCTAGATCCTCTGGGTCTTCTTTTTCACTGTTGCTCTTTCCTCTGTAGCACACCTCGGGCGGGTGTGCCCGGAGCTGTGGGCGCCAAGCCTCAGAGGAACATGGCAGCCATTCCTCGTTCAGGCTCAGCTGTAAAACTCTGAAGGACTTGGAAGCAGCCTTCAGCCTGTGGACTTTGTCATCTGGAGTCTATTCCTTGGAGCCTGGCCTGAGGAAAATGCCGAGGGCCCTGGGGAGAAAGGGGGGCTGTGTTTGGGCCTGTGGGCCTGGCGTGGGGGCTGGGAGGCAGCATCTGTATGTCCAAAGGGGCACAGCGGGCACTCTCAGGTAGCATGTGGCCCTGGGGACCCTCGGAGCCCCAAGGTCAGATTATATCCCCCGGAACAAAGCTCTGGGCTCTGTCTCTTCTTCAGGCACGTGCTTCTGTCCCCAGCAGCCTCAGCTGGGACTCTGCAGGCCCAGGAGAAGGGGCACTCCATGTCATCTAGGAGCCGGACTTGGCGGAGGTGGGGGTGGGGGGGTACCATCCTCAAGAAAGAGACGCTGGCCTTGGCCGTGAGAGCCAAGGGGCCCCGGGGTGAGTCAGCGTGGCCACTGGCCCCAGGGACAGACTTCCTCATGGAGGAGGAAGCAGCCAGTCAGGCCCCATTAAAATGCTGTCCCTGGCGAGGAGCTGTCCCCTGCGGGCCGTGCAGAGTCTGCAGGGGTGGACTCCAAGTTTCCGGGAGTGCTCCCCACCAGAGTCTCCCGGGCTTCCCAGGGGTGCTTGCGCCCACATGGAGGCCGGCTGGCCAGGCTCTCTGACACAGCCGAGAGCAATCTTGCCGTAGCCACCCTGTATCCAGCCACCGGCCCAGGCCAGGCTTTGGTCTCACACTGTTTTCCTGGCCAGTGTCCTCCAAGTTTGGTGCTAGGATCCCCATTTTATAGATGGGGCTCAAAGACCTAAGTAACGTAACTGCCAAATCCATAACTGGCTGGATCTAGGATTCAAATCCAGGTGTATCTGGGTTGCTTTCCATTCCATCCTTAGGCCTCCTCAGAAGGTAGCACTAACCTGCCAGAGGACACTGATCTTGAGTGAGCATCTGGGGTAGCAAGCATGATCTTGGGATTCAGGGCTTGTCTCCACAAGATGAAGTGGGAGTGAAACGTGGTCCTTTGGTGAAGGCATTGAACACAGTTTCCCTGCATGCATGGTACAGGTAAACACCTCAATTATACAGTCATCATACTGGTAGGAGTGAGATGCACTGCATCTTGTTCTTAAATCCCAATTTCTGAGTGCAGGTCTGTAATGAAACAACTAGTTTTGGGGAGAACTGTGGTGTTTGGTACCCTCACAAGAGCAGAAGTCATTTTCCTGTAGCTTTTCTCTCTTGCTGATAACTTACGGATTTTACAGAGACTGTCTGATCTATCCTTTCCCTCTGTACCCTGTATCCCTCACCACTCAGTTTGTATGCTGTTGCTGTCTATCCTTGATTCTGATATGTCCTTGATCCCAAGAGGCACCTTTTCCCCACACTTTAATGTCTTTGCGGTTGGCACACATCTTGTAATTGAGGTCTACATTTAATGTGGCAGGGCTGTTTAAATTGATGTTACATTTTTAGGATGGATAGAGACCAAGAATTCAGGAAATATGATAATTCATGCATTTATTCAACTCATCAAATGCCTACAATAAATCTCAGGCATTGGGCTAAATGCTTGGAATATAGAAACAGCCAAGTTTCAGTCTCTTGCCTTTGGGAGGTCACAGTCTAATGGGAGAGATAGACTAGACAGATCAACAGGCTCATTGTAATAGGGGGAATTAGGGGAACCAGGCTGTGTGGAGGGTCAGAGGAAGGAGGGGAGGATGTAGGGAGCCTGGGACCACTTTAAGCAGAGGGTGTATCCTGAATGAGGTGGGAGGACAAAGGCTTGGGAGTCAGCTGGGATGGGTTGGGGAATGGTATTCCAGAGAGGTTGACTGGTTGAAGCAAACAAAGGTTCAGAATCATGAGATACTAGGATGTGTTTCTGAGCCTCAACAAGTTGCTTGTGGCTGAAATGGAGGCTATGTGGAGACCTGGGGGTAAAACAGGGATGTGGGGAGAGCAGGGGCCAGATCATGGGGATCCCTAAGCTTGTGCAAATCAGCATCATCTCCATCCTGAGTCTGATGGCAAGTCTTTGAGGTGTTTTAAGCAGGGGAATGATGCCCAGATTTGTGTAGAAAGTGGGTGGAAAAGGGATGGTGGGGTGCGGTGGAGGAGGTGAACAGAGTGACAGCTATTGAAAGAGAAAGGAAGAGTTACCCTGAATGAAGCCCAAAGCCTCATTTTCATTTACTGTTCCCAGGCAGCATGGACCTGACCATGGAGGCTTGAGGAAGATCAAGCAGTGGTGCCGCAGGGCATCTAGAACTAGCACCTGCAGGCCCAAGTGGTCTTGTTCTTGCCTTAGCCCCATCATGTATGGCCTTCTCTCAGGAAAGTCGCATGATCAGTAGGCAAGCTGGCTGTAGGAACAAATGCTGGGAAAAGCTAGAAAAAGAAGAAAAGCCTTTCACCTGTCTCTGCTTAAGGGTTGTATCAACCTACAGCGATGACATGCCAACTTGTACTTGCCAAATTAGCTCACCAATCGGAACTTCTTACAAATAGATGGGACACGCAGTGGACATTTCTGAGTGTGGTGTAAGAGATTAAGTGTTAAATGTCATAAGGAAACAGTGTGAAGCCTAAGATAAATGGCTGGGGTTGTGCCTGAGAGTCACGCAGAAAACACAGTGTTTTCTGGCCCATCTTCGAGGGGTACGCGGGGGGAGGGCTGCTGGAGTGAGAGGTGGAAGGAGCACTCCACCTTGCTGGGGAGGGTTTGAAACGGATGGGAGGCCACTGTCGATCCTGTGATCCAAGACTTATGGTTCTTTTCTACTTCCCACTTCCCAAACAGGTGCAGTGCCATACTTACACCGGGTATTGCTGGTGTGTTACCCCAGATGGGAAGCCCATCAGTGGCTCTTCTGTGCAGAATAAAACTCCTGTATGTTCAGGTACCGTAGGGAAGGGCGGGAAGAAAGAAGAGGGTTGGGGAGAGACGCCTTGGCCGGTCTCCTGCCTCTGGGGTGGGCCTTTGAAAGACTGGTGGTGGTTATGAGTTCTTGTCCCGGTCAGGGAGGAGTCCACCTGAGCATGCTTGCTCTGTTGGGAGCTGGGTGATAGGGTCAGTATGTGTCTCTGGGTATGTATTTATTTATTCTGAGCTTAGGTTTCTGGTTCAATACTCTTTTTCCCAAGCATCAGCTGTAACCTCTAGAGAGCACTGTCTATAAGTTTATAGCTTGAGTGCTCTTGGTTGCTAGGGATCCGAGGCACACTATATCGAGATAGATTTCAGGACTGCATGGGAGTTCAGCAGCAAAGGCTATGGCGACCAATTAGTGATGTCTTTCATGGGTGCAAGAGAGGGGAGTGGTGGTCTATGTTGCCATATGTTTGCCACCCCTGAACAGTGTAACATACAGTGATGGAAAACATTCGTGCCAGTGGCCCTGAAATCTGGCTGTCATCAGCAGTGCCTGGGGAATTCAAAAAGAACCCAAATGTTGAGGCTTCTCCTTCAATATTTGGATCTAGTAGGTCTAGAGTAAGACTTGGAGTCTACATGCTTATGAAGCTTCTCAGGTGGTTCTGATGCTGAGACAAATTAGGGAACTACTCTTTCATAGCGACCCTCCTAGTAAGTCCATAGGAAAAATCAAGTCTTTTCTATTTCCAACTTTATGCGCATAGAGAAATTTTGTTCTTAGATCAATTTTGTGGGATTGTGTATTATGGATTTATAGAAGCCCCACACTTCCATTTTGATGGCAAGGAAATTCAAGTCACTCCCTTAATTCACTATGCAGCTCAACCCATGTTAAAAAAAAAAAGTCTGTCCCACCCACCAGCTGCTTCCTATTTCTCTGTAATCTGTGTATATGAGATTTTATGTATTTACGTATTTTTAATTTTTAAGTGCAAGCAAAGTATAAAACATTATTCTAACGCCTATGGGAAATTCCAAACTGCAGCAGTCCTGTCCTAACATTTTTCTTTTTCCCCTAAATTTATTCATTTTTTTCGACCAGCCCTGCTATATAAGGGGAAGAGTGAGTGGAAAGGGCAGTAAGTATCTACATTAGGAAACCAAAATTTGCAGGCCAAAAAGGAAAGTTTACTTTATTTGTGGTTTACATGGAAACTGGAAACCTTAATTGGGGTTGGTGTGGGGAGGGGGAGGAATGAAGCCTTCTTGCAAATGACCTGGAAAGTTTCATTTAAAGCAAACAAATGTGCTAGAAACAAGTCATGCAGGGTAATATAATTGAATTCGCACAAAACTCATATATGGAGAAGGGGTCGGATGTGAACAGGGATGGATCTCTTCTCTTTTGTCGTGGGGACCTCCCCCGATGCCCCTCTATGCTTGAGCTGGCTGTGCCCTGCGTGTGTGGGGCAGGACATCCCAGGGAAGGCAGGTGCAGCAGGGTCAGGACTGTCAGATGGGGGCGCAGGGCACCCGAGTACATGCAGGGCACCGCGTTTGGCCAAACCCACCCACTACCCACCCTCCTTGAGGATCGGGCTGCGTCTAGAAAATTGTTTCCATGCCTCAGACTATTTTGGCCCATTCAGTACAATTGGGCCAACAATTTTCTACTTAATGCAGATGGAAAATCGCCGATTTCCTGCCCTCACTGGCAAGGGATGTCAATCACTGCATTTGCAGTGAGAGGGGTTTTCTTTGCCGTCGGCCCTACTGACTGAATGTGGCTCAGAACGTGGAGCCGGTGGGAAGTGGAGGCGAGGGGGCAGTGAGTGGAATGTTCAACAAAGGAGTTATGTGGATGTGGAATTTTGTAAAAATCTGCTCGAGACTATTGCCAGGGAGCCTGGAAATCATGGTTCATCTCAACAGTGCTGTGATACCAGTGACATTGATGTTAAACAAACCCCACTCACATGTATGTATGTACTCACTTTGTATATAATGTTCCTAGTTGTGTATACAGTATCTATATACATAACCATATGCTCCTAACAGCAGGCTTTACCAACTCTTTGAAAGAAACCAACCGCGATGCATTCTGAACGTCTGTGTTTTTGTTTCCCCTCTCACCCAAGGTTCGGTCACTGATAAGCCTGCGAGCCAGGGTAACTCAGGAAGGAAAGGTGAGTGGAGTTTCACGCTTTATCTAAATGTTTGCTTCTAAAGCCAGTCCAAGCAGGCGTTCTTAGACAAGATGGAAGGAGCCTGGGGTGAAAGCTAAAAGTGCCCCGCAGAAAATCTGCATTTTCTGTTCCTTCCCAGAAGCCCTGGAGGTAAGTAAGGCTCATCACCTCCCGGAATTTCTGAGAGAGATGATTCTGAGAGTGCACATTGCAGGCGAGGACCCTGAGACCCTTGGTCCTGGGAGGTTCAGTCAGTCAGCGTGTAGTTCAGTGTGTAGTCAGCGTTAAACACAAAAGCACAACGAAGGCAGGCATGCCCAAGTCTGCCGAGACTCTTCTATTTTGGAAACCCATCTGAGCATTTTTTTTCCTCTTTGATTCTCCTTGATAATTGTTCTGGCACATCCAGAGTCTCTTCACTAAGACTAGGATGCTCCATGGGCATGTGACCTGGGCAGCTGTGGTCTTGAAATTCTTAGTTATTTTGCCCTTGAACTTGGGTTTTGTCATTACGGTGCAGTGGGACAATGAAGCATGCATGTGGGCAGTAGAGACATGCGTACTGTGCATATTCACTGTGGCTTCATTGACAGATAGCTTTTGTGATGAGGGCTACAGGTCTTCCATAACCTGCTTAGAATTTTCATTTTTCTTTACCCAGAAAGTAAGAATTTGTTACTCAGTTGTCATCTGACTTTTGCCACCCCATGGAATGTAGCCTGCCAGACTCCTCTGTCCATGGGATTTCCCAGGCAAGAATACTGGAGTGGGTTGCCATTTCCTTCTCCAAGGGATCTTCCCAACCCAGGGATCGAACCTGGGTCTCCTGCATTGCGGGCAGATTCTTTACTGTGTGAGCAACTGGGAAGCCTTTCTTTACCTAGAACAATGATAAATAGCAAGTTGAAAAACACATGACAAATCAAGAGAGAGACGATGGAGAAGAGGATCAGACAATATTTTAGTGTCTTTCATGGCACCCTTTTTCCTGCTTTTTGAAGAAAAGGCGTTTTCACTCTGCACTGGGCCCTACAAATTGTGTAGCTGGCCTTGATGAGGTCATTTGTCTGAGTGCTGGTTAGTGGACCAGCTTACATGAGGAGCGGGCCCCTGGGATGTGTTGACCATACTTTCCAGTATGGAAGACGCTAAGATTCTCCACTTCTTACCTCCAGAAAAGCACACACACAGACAGCTGGTGGTTGCATGGAAAACAGGCTTCAATTTTATTGCCCATGCAAGCACTCCAGAACCCTTATTTTGGGGTCTCAGGTAAAACCCAGGTGGGAGATCTCAGCTGAGTTTGAGCCCCACTACTTGACTCTGAGCCTTGGGAACTTCATGCTCATAAGAGCTATATGGAGAATTGGGCCTGCAAGGATCAGAGTGGGGCAAGCAGGCTTATCCTACACTGCAGTCACAGACCAGATGCTAATTCTGTGGGGACCCCAAGAGGAGGCAGAGTCCCCCTGCTTGAATGGAGGAGCTGAGAGTCTGGAGAACCTGCTCTCCCTGCATCAGGTGCTCCAAGAAGATATGGGAGTGGAGCTTGGTAATACCACCTCCTTCTAGAAACCATGGACCAAAGGACCCAATGGACTGCTCCCCTACCAGCGAACAGGAATGAGTAAGTGGGCAAAAACAAAGTACTTCGTAGCCCCAGGGAGACAGCCTTGAATGTTGGTGGCTCCCTTCTAGGAGGGAAGGCAGGAGAGGGGATAAACATTTCTTCTTGCAAAGATCTGAAATCATCAACACTGTGAGTGGCGTGTCTGCCTATAATTGATTGGGGTTGGAAAAGGGAACTGCCTTCAGTTTTGCTTGTTGCCACTGAAGTATTCAGGAGCATAAGCTTTAATCCTGGGCATGAGGTCCTGGTGGTAGGAAAAAGAAAGAGCAGTCATGCAGAACAGACCACCCAGACTTTCCCCACCGAAGGGAACAGAGCGCATGATGCTGGGTGAAGCACCTGCCCCCAGAAAGGCCAACCAGAGGATCTGGCTTTTAAACTGCACAGAGAAGTACTTCCCAGGTTGTCTTGTTTGCTGTGGATGGCAATAGGAATCGGACCCGTGCTCACAGCAGGCTCTTGCTGATCCAGGTGGGAGAAGGCAGGGGAATCTGATTCCTCCAGGGAGGAGGGGTGGATAAGAGTGTGAAGCCTCAAGTTCCTATCTCTTCACTCCCTTACCCTGGCGAAGTTCCTCCGTTCCAGATGGTGGTGCAGGGGCTTCCTCTTTGGTGCAAAGGCCTGGCAGGGGGGTGGGGAAGATGCTAGGGTTCACTCGCCCCCTAGAGACTTGACTTCTGCCCAGTGGCCTCTCTTTCCTTCTACTCTGGAGGGTTCCCAGAGCTGCTGCAGTCTGTGGGGTCACAAAGAGTCAGACACACCTGAACAACGGCAGAGGTGTTGAATCTCTTCTCTTTGTCTGCCGCGGGCAGGGCAGTGAAAAGCCACCTGTGGGAAGGCCCACCTGAAGCCACACCTGCCCAGGAAGCTGGGGTTTGAATGAGGACAGGGTGCGAGAGGGCATTGGTAATATCCTGTGTCGGGCCCGCCGAGGTGCCTCTTCAGCTGCCATTTAAGAATGGAATGTGCTCCGGAGGGCAGCAGGTGGGAGGACACAAAAGGCCCTTGTCTGAGCCCATGCCCACATGGGGGGTCTCCCAGAAGGCATCTCCCGAGAGAGCCGCAGCTCCAGAGACCTGCCCAGAGGGATGCTCAGCCCAGAGGACGGCCAGAAAGGAGGCGAGACTGGGGGTCTGGGTGTATGTGTGTGTGGGGGCTGGGGGGCGGTGGGAGTAGGGGAGGAGCACACCCAGTCCTTTCTTTCCCCACCCTTCTGCCTTTTTGAACATGCTCCATGGACCGGACTTGGAAGGACCGGTTCTCTCCGCCTGGGAGGAATGAAAAGGCGTATTGTGCCACGGAGGGTCTGGTTGCCGGCCAGGAATCAGTCCTCTGAAGGCAAGGAGGAGAAAGGCAGAGCGGGAGGAGGCTGGGGGAGGAGGCCCGGGGAGATAGCAGGAGGCAGGAGAGAGGGAGAGAGGCCAGGCGGTAGCAGGTCACAGGCGTCTGGCCAGCAAGCAGGTCTGGGTCGCTCCTGCTCCCGGGTCCACAGGTGTGGGGCCTGAGGGGAGACGTGGGGGAAGGAGGGAGGGAGGGAGGCCCGGTTATCTTACCCAGATGCACGTGCTGCAGGAGGGGAGGAGGGTCAGAACTTCAGACTGTTTACTTAATCCCCTGGAATGTCTTCACTGTGCTCTGTTCTTTGGGCCCCTTGTGTTTCCCCAGACTCCTTTATGGGCACATGTGTGGTAATTAACACATGCGGGGTAGGTCCCGGGCCATGTGTTTGCGTTTCAAATATCCATTGATCTGGGGCACTCCCATCCTGCAGCCGTCCCTTCTCTGATGGTCCTCGCCCTCTGAGAGAGATGGAAGGGGTATGTGTGCATTTTGGGGGGGGGGGCACATGTGCATCCACATGTGTTTTATTGATGCTACAGAGGAATATCAGAAGAGAGGAAAGGACCCCCCAGCAACCTCTGAGTTCTGACCATCTGCTGCTAAAACAGTTGAAAGATGCAGAAGTTGAGAGGAAGGATTTGGGGTTTCCATTGAAGTAGAAAAGTGACTGGGAAGCAAAATGTGATTTAGAGGTGGTGATTTTACCCTGAGCAGCTTTTCCTGGCCCACCAAGGCTCGTGGACTTTCCTGGGGTGCCTCTTTTGGGGGTCCAGATGCTAACAAATGTGGGCGATTTGAGGGAGTTTCCAGGATAACCTAACAAAGAGTCAGGGACTGGTCCTAGGCTTCATTGCTTATGAGGTGCAGTAAGGATGTTCTTGGCCTCCAGCGGGGCGTTGGTGGGGCAGGTGAAGAATGGAAGAGTAGTAGGAGAGGACTTGGACAATGATTTCTGGCAGTTTCTGGGAACTTTTTCTCTGGAGCGCCTAGGATACATGGCCAATGAAAATTTAGGGTCATTGGGAGTTTTCTGCAGTTTGCTCTTTTCTTATTTCTAAGAGCTCTGGGAGTGAGCAGTGTAAGAAAAGTGAGAGAAGAATAAAAACATTTAGAAAACTGCTCTCTTTTCTTCACGTGCTCCTGTATTTGGCAAGCCAGTCTTGGAGAGAAACAGAACTTCCAAAATTCAACTCGTAGAGACTTCTTTTATTACCCCGCCCCCCCCCGCCCCGCCCACCTCACTGCCCCTCTACTGACTGCTCCATAGTATGAGATCCAAGTGAAGAATGAGTCATAGTTATTTTTTCAGAGTCCGTCTCTGGGTCTCAGTTTTGAGGATCTCTCATGGTGTTTGGTCTACAAGTTGATGCCAGCTTGGAGGCCTTTGTCACTCAAATGGTGGAGCTAGCAGCACTTCCCCTCAGGGCTGAGGGATGTGCTTAGGGCAGGGGTGATGGATGGTAGGTCTCCCAGATGAAGGGGCTCGTGTGGTCTCTAGCCTCCGCCCTCATGGGGGTTAAGTACACCTGAAGGGATTTTCTTGCATTGCCTCGAACCTGGTTGAGGCGTGCAGAGCCAGCTGTCTCAGAGCATCCTATACACAGAATGTCACCCCATTCACGTGTCTTTCACCTCTTCCCAGCCACCTCTTTTTTCTCTTCTCTCAGCCCAGAGAAGGCGGCCAGATCCATAGGTGATCTGTCAGCCTTGCCACCAGATGGCTTAAGTCTGATTACCTTCCAGCCTGGGCTGGATTTGAATGGAAATGGGGAACTGATGACCTCTATGTGTTGACGTTGGCTCACATTGAATTTCCCTGTGGAGAACCATTCATTCTGATGCATGCCTGCTACAAACTGCACCCAAGTAGCTCCAGGCCCATGAGATGCAGCTCTTTTCCCCTCTGCATGCAGGTTGCTGCTGCTGTCTATTGTCTGAGCCACCCTGACCCAGCCTGGCATATCAGTATATCAGCTTCAAAGAGATCAGTTGCAGAAGGGGTGTGCACGAGTGTGCTTGAGTGTTCACG